GGCACTTCGTACTCTCTCTCGGGACACAGACGGCCTGTATCCCAGGGGCGCTGTATGCTCTCCCTTCTCAACGCAGGCGCTCAGGGGATCCAGTTAGAGGGCAGTTCACGTTCTGCCAGAGTCGCCAGGCGGTTCTAGGGGAAGCGTTTCAAGCCGGCTGTGGCCTCCCTCCCCAGACCAAAGGGCATCACAAAGACTAGGGTGACCCAGGACCCTCCCTCCTGACGCCAGGGTGCAAGGGGAAGCAATGGCGAGGGGCCCCGAGCTGCGAGATCTCGGAGCCCCAGAGAGCACAGAGACCCCGGCTGGGCGGGCAGGGCCGGGACCCCGTCCCCAAGAGCTGGCGTCGGGATCTGCCTCACGAAGGAGGCCGTCCGTGGAACCACTCAGAGGACAGATGAGAAGACCAGCCAACAAGTTGTTGGCTGAAGAGAGAATGTATAAAGCCGGCCCCGCGGGAAAACCACAGCCCCTCACAGATCAGAGAAAGGACAGCTGCGGATGGGCTAGGGGATGGGGCTCCCGGGGAAAAGCGCTTTTAAATGTTCCCCGGTGCGGTTAAACGGGGTTGTAATAAGAACTTATATCTGTTTAATGCAAAAGTGACCCAAAAAAATCTAAGTAGTGACTTACAAACAGGGGTTTAGGGGCGCCTGGGTGGCTCAATCAGTTGAGCATCTGACTTGGCTCGGGTCGTGGTCTCAAGGTTCATGAGTTCGAGCCCCACGTCGGGCTCTGTGTTGTCAGCACAGAGCCTGCTTCCGACCCTCTGTCCTCCTTTCTCTCTGCCCCACCCCCAATCATTCTCTCTCTCTCCCTCTCTCAAAAATAAGTAAATATTAAAAAAAATTAGGTGGGAGGCACCTGAGTGGCTCAGTTGGTTAAGCGTCTGACTTCGGCTCAGGTCACGATCTCACAATTTGTGGGTTTGAGCCTTGCGTGGGGCTCAGTGCTGGCAGCTCAGAGCCTGGAGCCTGCTTCAGATTCTGTCTCTCTCTCTCTCTCTCTCTCTCTCTGTGCCTCCCCTGCTCACATTCTGTCTCTCTCCCTCAAAAATGAATCAACACTTAAAAAATAAAATAAGTAAAAATTCATGGGGTGCCTGCATGGCTCAGTCAGTTAAGCGTCCGACTTTGGCTCAGGTCAGGATCTTGTGGTTCATGAGTTCAAGCCCCACATCGGGCTCTGTGTTGTCAGCACAAAGCCTGCTTCAGAGCCTCTGTCCTCCTTTCTCTCTGCCCCCTCCCACGCACTCACACACACACTCACTCTCTCTCTCTCAAAATAAACTTTAAAAAATTCTTAATAAAAAAAACACAAAAAAACAAATAGGGGTTTATCTCTCAGGGGTGGCACGGGGCAGGGTTGTTTTCTACGCATTTCTATTTAATGTCTCCAACAGCCGTAAACAGAAATAATGGGGAATTTGACAAAACAATGCCAAGCGCACCATAAAAACTTGGAGCTAAATGCCCAACAAATTTTTTTTTCCTTTTTCTTTTATGCATTCGCTTTTAAAAGAGCGAGAGAGGGCAAGCGAGCAGGGGAGCAACAGACAGAGAGGGAGACAAGAGAATCCTCAGCAGCCTCCACGCTATGAGCGCAGAGAAATCGTGGCCTGAGCCAAAATCAAGAGCCAGACACTTAACCGACCCCCTGAATGCCCGACGGTCTTACTAACGTACCGGTGAGAAATCACAGACTGCTTCTCGACCACTGAGGACCACGTCGTAAAACAGTACTTAATGACCAAGAAATGCTCAGCAAACAGACACCGTGTGGACGGCTGCCGATTCTGTGCTTCGCACCCTCACCCGCACCCCCACCCGCCTCCACACCCCCACCCCGTGTGAGGCACACTCGGGATCGCAGACAAACCCGCCAGGGCGTTTCCAGTCCCCGGCACAGCAGCCCGTGCACCCAACATGGGTATTTTCTACCAGCTTCTCCACACCTTTCGCGTCTCATACCTGACGACAAGCACGGCTTTATCATGAGGATTGGAGCCAAAAGAAACGTTATTTTTATCAGTAATGGTAGGAAAGCCTGTCAAAGACAGTGGCGCTAGGTCCCGGCCTTTTCATCCCGCACCCAGATGCTCAGAGGCAGTCAAAAGGCAGAGAAGAGAAAGGGCAAGAGACTGTCTCTGGAACCGACAACTCACGTCCTCACGGAAACCTGCACACGCACGTGCACAGCAGTGTGTTCACAGCGGACCACAGTGGACACAACCCAGATGTCTATCAACTGGTAAATACGTGTCCACCGCACACGCGCACGTCCCTCAGCCGCGTGCAGGAGCGAGGCGCCCACTCCCGCCGCCCCGCGGACCAACCCCGAACACACGACGCTCAGGGAGGGAACCGGACACGAGAGGCCACGTGGGGTGTGGGTCTGCGTGTGTGAAACGTCCAGAACGGGCTCATCCACGGACAGAAAGGGGGCTCGTGGGGGCTGGCGGATGACTGCTAAGGCGGACAGGGTTTCTTTCGGAGTGACGGAATGTTCTGGAACTCGCCGGTGGTGGCGGCTGCACAGCTCTGTGAATGTACTAAGAACCAGTGAACTGTGTATTTTGAAAGGGTGAATTTCGCGCTATGTGAGTGGTATCTCAATTTTCAAAAAGCATGTTAAACACCCAGAAAAATTATCTGCATATTCAGGTTACGGGCATAATTTCAGCTAGGAGGCTCCTGGGAGGGAAAAGCCAACAGCGAGCACATGCATTCTACTTTTGCTGGGATCTGTTCAGTCTGGCTGGTGTTGAGTAAAAGGTCGGGTTAATAATACAGGAAGGCATTTCAGCTCACACTACAGACCCGGGCTAAGCACACCCCCCTCCTCGAGATGACAATCTATGAAGCGGAAACGGTAATATCTACTGAGGAACGTTATAAAGAGTAATAAAATGACATACGTAAAAAAATGATAACAAATAAAAATAAATGAAACAAATCATGACAGAACCGTGCATTGAAAACAAGAAAGGCGGGGGGGGAAGCCCAGGCTGCTGGGGGTGGGGGGCAGAGAGAGGCTGGGCTGCTACCTCCCCCCACCCCCCCACCAGGCCAAGGGCTCCCGCCCCACCCCTACCTTCAGGGCTGCGGCCTTCCGTTTCAGGCCACTGTTGTCGCTGCTTTTGTCCGAGTCGGAGTCGCTCTCCATCCTGTCGCTGGCCGCTGTGGCGGTCACGGCTGTGACGGCCATGACCCCCCGGACCTCGTCGTCCTCGCTCCCGCCCGCCGGGTCGGCTTCGGGGGCCTCGCTGTCAGAGGAACTCACCGGCTGGGGGGGGGGGGGGGGGCACAGACCAGTCACCAGCAGGCTTGGGCGGATTCCCCAGCCGGGACGGTGACCCCGAGGACAGATCCCACGGCGGGGTCTCAAATGTCAGAGTCTGGCCCCCTGGCTTTCCAAACGGGGCAGCCCGGAAAGACTAAAGAATAGAGGCTCAAAGGCAAGATGGGCACATGCGGTGGGTGCCAGGGTTCAAGATCAAACCTCAGGCCAGTCTGTGACTTAGCCTCTCGGGACCTCAGTTTCCACATCTGAGGGAGACAGGTGGCACGACTTTGGCCTCACGGGGCTGTGGCAAGGATGAGGCCGGAGTGGCACATGGCATTCTTAGGGCAGTGCCCAGGCTGGCAAGAGGTCCCCCAAAGTTTGCCAGTTTACTGTCGGTACGCCCATCGTGACGAAGACAGGACCTCCAGGCCGAAACTTCCAGGCTCTGCTATTTCTCCTTTACCCAAAGTGCCCGCTCAGGCAAGAACAGCCACAGAAACACTTCTGCCGTGCTCGGCACGTGCCGGGCTCCTTTACACGCTCGGGGGGCGTTCGCGCAGCGGCGGGTGCCAGGCACGGTGCTGGGCGGGCAGGCAGCGAGCACACGCAGATGTGAAGGCAGCGCGGCCCCTGCCCCCGGGGAGCTTACCATCTAGCGGGAGAGGGCGAGAGCAGCCATTTCGGCAGAACAACGTCTCGCTGCGGGGACGGGGAGAGAGGAAAATACTGGTATGTGGGTGCCGAGGAATCAGGGAGAGGTGGGTGTAAGGTGGCAGTAATGTTCTGAAGTGCGTTTTGGGGAGGAATCCTCGGAGGGCGGGACGTTTCAGCTGATGAGTCATCTCAAGCATGCAAAGGGACAGGAACAGCACGAGGGGAGGGGAGGGACGGTGCCCCTGAGAACCGGGCGGGCGAGGTCGGTGTGGCCGGGGCAACGGTGAGAGAAGAATGTGGCGGAAGAAAGGCTGGAGGGCTGGGCCAGGGCTGATGCAGGGTTATGGGGGATGTAGGGGACCCAGCAGTCTCACAAGGACGGTCAGGCCACAGGGCTCTCTCGGGCCTGTTTCTGACCCCGTTCTGGATATCTCGTTTGTAGGAGGAACACAGATGAGTCCTGATCAAACTCATCCACTGAGTGCCACAGAACATCCACTGCCTGAGGCCTCGTGCTGGGGCGGGGGCGAGACGAGACGGTGTGAGACAGGGTCCCTGCCCTCGGGGAGCTCACAGTCCCCGATGGGGACTAATGCGGAGAAAGACAAGGAAACACAGAGAGACAACACGGCCTGAGAGGGCGTGCCGCTCCGTTCCTGGAGCACCCAGCAGAGTCCGAGGGTGGCATTTGACCACGTTATTTCATGGTACTTCTTCACCGAGTAATTAATTTCTTTTAAGACCGAGGCTGTGACTTTTTAGAGCTACGGTCTGCAAAAAAAACAAATTTCCACCTACTAATAAATAGACAAAGTGCAGAGCAGCTATAGGACAGAATACTATTCAGCCACGAAATGGACTGAAACTGACATGCGCTACAGGGTGGATGAACCCCCGAAACACGCGCAGTGAAAGACGCCAGAAGCATAGAACCACGTAGAATTCCATTTCTATGAAATCTGGAGTACGCAAATTCATAGGAACAGAAAGTTGATTAGGAGTTCTCAGGGGCGGGATGATGTTCTCAGGAGATGCTCAGTTGGTTGAGCATCCGACTCTTGGCTCCAGCTCAGGTCGTGATCCCAGGTTTGTGGGATCGAGTCCCACGTTGGACTGTGCACACGGGGCATGGAGCCTGCTTGGGATTCTCTCCCCTCCTCCCCTAATCGAGCTCTCTCTCTTTCTTTAAAGAAAAAAAGGGGTTCTCGGGGGCTACAGGAAGGGGAGAATTAGGGGTGACAGCGAACAGGAAGGGGGGGTTTCCTTGTGGGGTGATGGAGCGTTCTCGATTAGAGAGCAGTGGCGATTGCACGACACTACAAATGTATAAAACCCACTGTAGGACACATTCAAAATAGTTAAAACAGCAGATTTCCCAAATTCATTAAACAAACTTACAACAAGAGAAAGGCACACTCCCTCGGTGGAACCACAGCCAGGGATCGATGGATCGGGCCGGGGCCGCACGCCGGCCGACATACAAGCAGGGAGGACAGAAAGGGGTCCGAGTCCGAGCGAGGAGCCTCGGGGGCCGCGCCGACTGGACACAGGAGGCCAGACCAGGACCAGGGAGCAAGGAGGCAGGAGCACGGGCGGCCAGGGGGCCGGGAGGGAAGGGAACCGGGGTCAGCGCCGGACACAGGACCAGACAAGTGCTTGGTAGGACATCAGCACAGAAAGGCTCAGAAGAGGGGAAACGTGGCTGCCGGAGAGCAGACGGGAGGACCCCCGGCCCAACCGATCCCCCGTTCCCTGATCTCTTGCAGGAAGCCCCCCCAGGCCTTCCCTGACTGAGGGGTCCTGAGCCCACCCTGGCCTTCACACAGCCGGGTTAACAGGCGAGGAGAGTAAGGGCCAGGTGTTGACAGGACCTCGTGCTCAGCACACAGCTCCTTCTGTCTCCCCGGAGGCACCGTAACAGGGCCCACTCTGGATATGCTTGACAAGAGTAAAAGACGTGATGCTAGGTAGGGCAGGCCCCAAACCTAAAACGAGGGGGCAGACGTTACCCAAGCTTGCTCTGTGCGTGTGTGTGTGTGTGTGTGTGCGCGCGCGCGCGTCCTGGGTGCGAGCCGTCACCCTCATTTTGCAGACGAGCAAAGGGTGACATGACAGCTCAAGACCACAGCGAGTGTGTGACAGAGGCGAGATGCCGGCCGGGCCTGGCTTGGCCTCTAAGCCAGGGCCACCGGACACAGCGACTGCTCATGGAAACCCCTCCTTGCTCCTGACCAACCGGGGTCCGACCTGTGCCTCTCACGTCCAGCCAGGTGGCCGGGCTGGGTGGGCCTGTCCCACAACTGGGCAAGTGGACACTCCAGAAGGTAAGTGGCCGGCCCTACGCTGTGCCTGTAGATAAGGCCGGGAACGCTGGATCTCGGGGCGGGGGTCAGCCCATGGGGTCTCACTGCCTGCCAGCAAAGCCTTGGGGAAACGTGACCCCCACGGAGAAACACGAGGCACAGGGAGGAGCCAGGAAACACGGCCAAGAGCCAGCCAACCTGCAGCCATCGCGAGCCCAAAGGTCTGGTGAGCGAGGCGAACCTCAGTTTCTCTCACGGCCTTCACGCGTCAGGAGGGTGATGGGGGG